CTCGACAGGAGTTATGTCCCTTGGCACCTACCACATTGACCACTAATGTGGTTCTATGATCCCATGTCTCCCTTCCGATGGCACCCCTCCACTCATCCTTTTTCCTCCCTGGTTCAACCCACCTATGGGATGTGCATATCACTCTCCTTCTTGGGGGGGAGAGGAGAATTCTCTTCCATCTCATTGACTACCATTTTAAGAAAACAATCTTTTATGGAGGGAAACATCATAGTTCTCCAATGCCCTGTGATTTCTAAACCAGCTGTACTAGGGAGTATTTATAGTTAATAAGGGATGTGGGAAATGCATGAAACAGAAGGGTACCCTGGTCAGGTGGTATATCAACTCCGGTCATGCAAGCAGTTAACTCACAGACTTCCTTCCAAAAATCCTACACTTCGGTGCATATCTACTAAATACGCTGAAGTGTTCCAACTTCTCTCCTGCATCTCCAGCAAGTTTGAGAATGGGTTAAATAGATGATTGTCATATGGTGCTATGTGCCACCTGGATAGTAAATTATAATTTGTTTCCTGTATTGGAACAGTAGTGTGAGAATGTTGCTCAAATGTTTTTTTCCAGTCCTCCTCTGAAAATAAAAGTGACAAATGGTTGTTTCAAACATGGGTGAGATAAGGTAAATGGGGGTGATGTAAAGTTTGAAGGAGTTTATGATGTTTTTGATCAGAATGGCAGATTTGTTCACATCTAGTAGTATCCAGAAGACCAGAGTTTGGGGTAGAGAGAGACTTGAACAAGTGCTTTAATTGAAAGTATGGACATTTTTTGCAGGGATGATGTCTCCAAGGGCCCAATAGTTCTGAGGTTTTAAATTTCCATCTTGAAAAAAAGCTACAAATGAGTGTGTAGGGTCTTTGTCAGGAATATATAATCCCTGTGCCCCCGCTGGGAAAAGTGGGTTTATGAAATTGCGTAATAAGGGGAGAGTGTCTGAGATATGTCTGTGTGGTGTTGCACCTTTGTTAATCCTTTATAACATTAGGTGGAATGTTTCTGTAACGGAGCTCCTTGTACTCCGACTGAGTACCCTCCGTTGACGGATGCTCCTAGCGCTTCCTGAGGACTCCAAGCACTGCAGCAGACACCACAACCACCGCAGACTCCGCAACCGCCGTATCTTGACTGGAGTCTCGCCGTCTTCCTTCCACCCTGGATCAGCTTCTGTCCTCCAGGACTGTGTGGGAAAGAACTCTTCCTTCCACCCTGTACGAACCTCCAGCATCCAGGACTGTGTGGTGAAGACCCCTCCTCCAAGGAGAGCGTGTCAGGAACAAGCTCTTAAAAGAGCTAAATGATTCAAGCTCAGGGGAGCATGCAGAGCATAGCAATCCCCAGTGTGATTATAACAGCTCCCTCCAATAACGAGACAAGGCTACGTTTAGAGGGATCAAGAAGAACTGTCAAAACCTTTATTTCCCTTGGGACCAGCCAATAGGGTCACCACAATAACATTGTTGTGAAACCTCAATAAAATCACAAACAGTCAAACCATATCAAGCAACACACAGTGACTTATCACAACACAATGGCACATTTTTAAAGGGGTGGGGGGAGACAATATTTAACAGTAAATATCTCACCTGCCTGCAGAATTAGCAATATGCAAATCTACCCGAATATGCAAATGAACCAGTCTTGCAATTCAGGTAGTGCATATTGCTGTTGCTACCAACAGAGGGCACTAGACAAGCTCCATAGCCAAACCCACCTAGTTGGTAGCAAACCTCAGCAGTACAGGAGAGCAGGCAATACATTTCACAGTACACACACACACACTATAAACAATTACATTACACACACTCTGCACCTATAATGGGTACAGGGTGACTAAAACATAAGATAAATAAAGCAGCCTACATAAATAGTCTGTCTGAAGGTAGACTAGGGGCTTTAAAGCCAGATACATGAAAGAGTCATAGTCACAGGGGAGGAGACTGGCAAGTAGGCCTCTCCAGGACCAAGTGGCGAAGGACACTTCGTCACATATCTCCCCTTCGGGGGGAAGACTAACCAGGCACCTGACTTTCTGTCGGTCAGTGCCTAAGTTAGTTGAGTCACCCACCGACCATAAGCAAGTGCCAGAGTAGCCCACCCACAACAAACAGTTATTAGAGCAGCCCACCCACAGCAAACAGTGACTGCACCTGGGTATTCCTCTGGGGTGATGGGGCAACACACTGTGGGGACTTGAGGGGCAGAGGCCAGCGGCGCTCTGCCCTGATGCCAGCGCTTCTGCTGGGAGGAGGGGGGTGCAGGCCAGTCCTGTGACAAGGGGATCGGTAGGGCAGAGGCCAGCGGCGGTCTGCCCTGATGCCAGCTCTTCTGCTGGTATAGCCTGCAGGACATCAGGCTCTGGACAAGGGACAAAGGGAGGGCAGAGGCCGACTGCATTCTGCCCAGCTGCCAGCTCTTCCGCTGGGGGGCTTGGGACATAGTCCGGCTCAGTAGCCAGGGGAACGTGGGGATCAGTGGGGGTTAACATCTCCCCTGTTAACCCTGGGGCCAAGTTAAGAGTTAGCTGGGGAGGGGAATTCGTACTTACCCCCTCCTCCTGTTGTCCCTGTGAGGGTAGTTGGGGATCTGGACAGGCTGTCCAGCATCCCTGTAGGTCGGGCACAGAGACCACGGTCCCCTCTGCGCCATCTGGGAGATTGGTGTCTCCCCTTGGTAGGGTAAGCTGCCGCTGGGGAGATAGGGTGCTGTGCTCCTCTCCCTGAAACACAGGCTGCCGCTGGAGAGGGAGACCGCCTGTCTCCACTCCCATAACATTGTCCTGCTGCTGGAGAGAGAGACCAACTGTCTCTGCTCCCTGTAGGACACATTGCTGCTGGGGAGGAAGGACGGCACCTTCGGCTCCCTGTAACTTGCACTGCCGCTGGGGAGGAAGGACAACACCTTCGGCTCCCTGTAACTTGCACTGCCGCTGGGGAGAGAGACCAACTGTCCCTGCTCCCTGTAGGACACACTGCTGCTGGGGGGGAAGGACGACACCTTCGGCCCCCTGGAATTCGCACTGCCGCTGGGGAGGAAGAACGACACCTTCGGCTCCCTGTAACTTGCACTGCCGCTGGGGAGTTAGGACGACACCTTCGGCTCCCTGTAACTTGCACTGCCGCTGGGGAGGAAGGACGACACCTTCGGCTCCCTGTAACTTGCACTGCCGCTGGGGAGGAAGGACGACACCTTCGGCTCCCTGTAACTTGCACTGCAGCTGGATACTAGGTGTCCATATCCTCAACCTCCACAGTTGTCGCTCAAAGGCCATTGCCGCACTGTTCTCAGCACTCAACTGGCGCATTACTTGGTGGACCACCTCGTTCAAAAGGTCTGGGCCATAGCAGACCAACCGCCTCTTTACCTCCTCAATGTAAGCGTCGTCCTCGTAGCGACGTATCATGTTGAGGTGCTCTTCGCAGGGCTCTATCCATCCCTGCTCCATGCTGCTGTAGTTAGGGACGCTGCACAGTGGCTAGCGTTGCCCTCAATAACCTCTCATACGATACCAGTGTCTCCGAGCTGCTTCTCCTCGCACTAGGACGCCATCCCATCGCTGCCACCAATGTAACGGAGCTCCTTGTACTCCAACTGAGTACCCTCCGTTGTCTTATGTTTCCTGAGGACTCCAAGCGCTGCAGCAGACACCACAACCACCGCAGACTCTGCAACCGCCGTATCTTGACTGGAGTCTCGCCGTCTTCCTTCCACCCTGGATCAGCTTCTGTCCTCCAGGACTGTGTGGGAAAGAACTCTTCCTTCCACTCTGTATGAACCTCCAGCATCCAGGACTGTGTGGTGAAGACCCCTCCTCCAAGGAGAGCGTGTCAGGAACAAGCTCTAAAAAGAGCTAAGTGACTCAAGCTCAGGGGAGCATGCAGAGCATAGCAATCCCCAGTGTGATTATAACAGCTCCCTCCAATAACGAGACAAAGATACATTTAGAGGGATCAAGAAGAACTGTCAAAACCTTTATTTCCCTTGAGACCAGCCAATAGGGTCACCACAATAACATTGTTGTGAAACCTCAATAAAATCACAAACAGTCAAACCATATCAAGCAACACACAGTGAATTATCACAACACAATGGCACATTTTAAAAGGTGGAGGGAGACAATATTTAACAGTAAATATCTCACCTGCCTGCAAAATTAGCAATATGCAAATCTACCTGAATATGCAAATGAACCAGTCTTGCAATTCAGGTAGTGCATATTGCTGTTGCTACCAACAGAGGGCACTAGACAAGCTCCATAGCCAAACCCACCTAGTTGGTAGCAAACCTCAGCAGTACAGGAGAGCAGGCAATACATTTCACAGTACACACACACACACACATAAACAATTATATTACACACACCCTGCACCTATAATGGGTACAGGGTGACTAAAACATAAGATAAATAAAGCAGCCTACATAAATAGTCTGTCTGAAGGTAGACTAGGGGCTTTAAAGCCAGATACATGAAAGAGTCATAGTCACAGGGGAGGAGACTGGCAAGTAGGCCTCTCCAGGACCAAGTGGCGAAGGACACTTCGTCACAGTTTCTATTGACGGTACAGGTATATCTGATATAATGATGAGACTTGAAGGTACAGATATATCGGATTTAATTATTATACTTGTGCATGGCAGAAATGTCGGTGGACGAAAATAAAATGTTTTTTGTGTGTAAATTTCTGTTTATTAGAAATAAAAAAAATTCATGTCGACATAGAGCAGTGTGGCACACGCAGATACCTCTTTCAAACAGTAAATGCATATAAAGGATGGGATCTGCGTATACCTAAATATAGTAGATTGAGACATGCAGGTTTCCGATACAGATTAGATACAAAAGGCTATTTGGAGTGTGAAGCATGCCCTTTGTGGGTGTCATGTCTAGAGATGAGCAGACACCTGGATGTTCACCGGGTTCGGCCGAACTTCGGCAAAAAGTTCGAGTTCGGACCCGAACTTGACCCGAACCCAAACCCCATTGTCAATGGGGTCCCGAACTTTTGGGCACTAAAATGGCTCTAAAAAAGTCTTGGAAAGGGCTAGAGGGCTGCAAAATGAAGTAAAATGGGAGTAAGAGTAGGACAAGTGCCCTGCAAAAAATGTGGATAGGGAAATAACTTAAAATAACATGAAATACATAAAAATTAAAAGGAGGAGGTGGATGTGGAGTAGGAGGTTGAGGAGGTGGTGTAGATGGAAGGGGCATGGCGGTGTAGGTGGAAGCGGCAGTTGAGGCGGAGGAGGTAGCCAATACTATTTTTTTTTTCAATTGGGGTAGCTCCCAAAATATTGGGACATATAAAAAAAGAAAACAAAGAATAAGTGCACTTGAGTATAACAATGGCTGGGTGAAGCCCATAAATGTCTATTCTGTACAAGGTACAGAAAATTCTGGTGGGATCCATGCCTGGTTCATTTTAATAAGCATGAGCTTGTCCACGTTGGCTGTGGACAGGCGGCTGCGCTTGTCTGTGATAACACCCCCTGCCATGCTAAACACACGTTCAGACAATACACTGGCTGCAGGGCAGGCCTGCACCTCCCAGGCATAAAGGGCAAGCTCAGGCCATGTGCCCAATATGGAGACCCAAAAGTTGAATGGGGCAGACCCATCAGTCAGAACGTGTAGGCGTGTGCACACGTACTGTTCCACCATGTTGCTGAAATGCTGCCTCCTGCTAAGACATTCCATATCAGCTGGTGGTGCTGGTTGTTGTGGCGTGCTGACAAAGCTTTTCCGCATTTCATCCATGCTAACCCTTCTGAGGTGCTGGTGGTGCCCCAGCTGCGTTGGCGAACTCTTCCTCCTCCTCTGCCTTCGCCTTGTGCTTCCACTGAGCCCCCGGTGTTAGTTGGGATTGCCCTCAGCAGTGTGTCTACCAGCGTGCGCTTGTAGTCGCACATCTTCCGATCATGCTCCAGTGAGGGAATTAAGGACATCAAGTTGTCCTTGTAACAGGGATCCAGCAGGGTGTCCACCCAGTAATCAGCACAAGTTAGAATGTGGGCAACTCTGCAGTCATTGCGCAGGAACTGCAGCATGTAGTCGCTCATGTGTGCCAGGCTGCCCAGAGGCAAGGACAAGCTGTCCTCTGTGGGAGGCGTATCGTCTGTGTCCTCCGTATCCCCCCAGCCACACTCCAGTGATGCCCACGAGCTGCGTTGGGTGCCACCCTGCTGGGAACACGGTTCCTCCTCCTCCTCCAGAACTGTGCCCTGGCTGGACAATTGTGTACCTGGCCTATCCTGGTGCAGGAACCCACCCTCCAAGCCACTTGTGAATGACTGGCCTGATAACCGTGGAAATGACCCCTCTTGCTCCTGTGCCACATCCTCTTCCATCATCGCCCAAAGCGTTTTTTCAAGGAGACATAGAAGCGGGATAGTAAGGCTGAGAACGGCGTCATCAGCACTGGCCACGTTGGTGGAGTACTCGAAACAATGCAACATGGCACACAGGTCTCACATGGAGGCCCACTCATTGGTGGTGAAATGGTGTTGTTCCGCAGAGCGACTGACCTGTGCGTGCTGCAGCTGAAACTCCACTATCGCCTGCTGCTGTTCGCACAGTCTCTCCAGCATGTGCAAGGTGGAGTTCCACCTTGTGGGCACGTTGCATATGAGGCGGTGAGCGGGAAGGCCGAAGTTACGCTGCAGCGCAGACAGGCGAGCAGCAGCAGGATGAAAACGCAGAAAGCGCGCACAGATGGCCCGCACTTTGTGCAGCAGCTCTGATATATATGGGTAGTTTTTCGGGAATTTCTGCACCACCAAATTCAGCACATGCGCCAAGTAAGGGATGTGCGTCAAACCGGCTAGGCCCAGAGCTGCTACGAGATTTCGCCCATTAGGCTCACTGGCAACAATCACTCATCAGTCTGTTGTTAGATTGCCCATCCACAGCTCCTGCGCGGTGTTGGGTTTTTCCCCCAAACATTTGAGTTTTAAAACAGCCTGCTGTCGTTTCCCCCTGGCTGTGCTGAAGTTGGTGGTGAAGGTGTTACACTGACCAGATGAGGAGGTGGTAGAGGAGGAGGAAGTGGAGTAGGAGGATGAGGCATCAAGAGGCAAAAAGAAATGCCCTGCAATCCTCGGTGGCGAAAGGACATGCGCCAAACTGCTATCCGCCTCAGGCCCAGCCGCGACTACATTTGCCCAGTGTGCAGTTAGGGAGATACAGCGTCCCTGCCCGTGCTTACAGGTCCACATATCAGTGGTTATGTGGACCTTGCCACAGATGGCGTTGCGCAGTGCACACCTGATTTTGTCCACCAATTGGTTGTGCAGGGAAGGGATGGCTCGCCTGGAAAAGTAGTGGCGGCTGGGAACCATGTACTGTGGGACAGCCACCGCCATCAGGTTTTTAAAACTGTCCGTCTCAACCAGACTGAATGACAGCATTTCAAAGGACAGGAATTTTGAAATGCTGGCATTTAGGGCCAGGGATCGCGGATGGGTAAGGGGGTACATACTCTTTCTCTCCAGTGTTTGGGAGATGGACAGCTGAACGCTTCCATGATACAGTGTGGAGATGCTTGGGGATGGTGGCGGACGTGGTGGCATTGCTGCCACATCCTCTGTTTGCTGGGTGGCAGGTGCCACTGTCACTCCAGAGGTAGAGGAAGAGGCAGAGACAGCAGCAGAAGAGGAA